TAGGGTTTAGGATTTAGGGCTTGAGAGTTTAAGGTAAAAGGTACGATAAGGATCCTAGGCTTCCTTTAAAGGGTACCATAGGGTTTAGGGGTTTAGGGGTTTTAGGGTTTGGAGTTTAGGGTTTAGGGTTTGAGAGTCTAGGGTTCAGGGTTGAGAGTTGAGGGTTTAGGGTTCAGGGTTTCGGGTTGAGGGGCTTCCGTCGGAGTTCCTTCGTTGGGGATCCTTTAAGGGTTATTCTGAGGGTCCCTTTAAGGGCTCCTCAAAGGGTTCCTTTATAGAGGATCCTTTAAGGGATGTTTTGGTTCAGCTCCCTTTTGTTGGGGCTAGGAAGGCAGTGAAGCTCATCCTGTGCCCCAAACCTTGAATCCTTCACCCCTATGTAGGGGCCTTAATAATTACCTATATTATTTGGGAGCTTCCATATTGTAACTATAATATAATATGCTTTAAAACCCCACCCTAATTATTAAGGCCCCGGCAGTAATCCCAACCCCTTAACCCCTAAAAGCCCATGAAACCCAAACCCGAAACCCCAAACCCCAAATTGCTCTAGCACCTGGAAGGTTTCCATCTTTCACGGCCCAGCAATGCTCGGACCTGTGTCAGAAGATGGACATGGCTCCAGCGTCGCTGGCCAAGCTTCGGGTCAGTATATCTGGACTATCGCAAGATCAAAGTATTGGTGCAGTCTTAATATAGTATTATTAACATATTCTCTTGGTTGTAGAATGTTACAGTAATGTTCTTGTGTTCGTACGAGTATAGGTTCAGAACAATATCATGGCACTGTTAGTATAAGTAACGATCGCATTCGTTCGGGTTTCCGTTCTGACTTTAGTATCACAAACGCCAATGCGCCATTCCAACTATTGCGATGTGTCGTTTTGCACGTTTCTGCTTTGTCCCGTTAGATGTTCCTAACCTCGACCCTAAACCCTAATCCCTAAACGCTAAAGCCCTAGACCGAAGCCCTAAACCCTAAACCCTAAACCCTTAAGCCCTAACCCCTAATCCCTTCAAGTTTCATGAACCTCCTTGAAACCCACGAAGGAATCAGTTTTGAAGACAAGAGCCTAGGCTCCGGACCCAAACCCTAAACCCTAAACTTCCTAAACCCTAAACCCTTAAGCCCTAGCCCCTAACCTCCTTGAAACCCAGACAGAATCAGTGCTGAAGCCAAGAGCCTAGGCTCCGGGACCACCAGGACCCTAAACCCTAAACCCTTAAGCCCTAGCCCCTAACCTCCTTGAAACCCAGACAGAATCAGTTCTGAAGCCAAGAGCCTAGGCTCCGGGACCACCAGGACCCTAAACCCTAAACCCTTCAACCCCCTAATCCCTTTAAGTTGCATAAACTTCCTTGTTTTGAAGCCAAGAGCCTAGGCTCCGGGACCACACCCTAAACCCTAAACCCTAAACCCTAAACCCTAAACCCTAAACCCGAAGCCAAGAGCCGAGGCTCCGGGACCACCAGGGCGGCGACTTCCTGGCGGAACTCTGCCGCTTGCTCGGATCGCGGCTGCGCGAGCTGACGAGCATGCAGGCGGGAAGGTTTTCATCATGGGGTTTAAGGTTTAGGGTTTAGGGTTTAGGGTTTAGGGTTTAGGGTTTAGGATTCAGGGTTTAGGGTTTAGGGTTTAGGGTTTAGGTTTTGGGGTTTAGGGGTTTAGGGGTTTAGGTGTTTACTTGGAGGATCATGGGACTTAGTAAGTAAGGTTACAACTACCTTAGTCGGGGTTATAATTACTTATAGTAACTGATTTATAAGCCTAGTTACTAAGTTCCATGATCCTCTAAGTAAACCCTACACCCTAAATTGTGGTGTCATCATTTTGGGACAGTGCTGTTGTTTGTAGTATTCTTGTCGGATGTCTGCTGCCGACGTCTTGAAGTCCCTGACCATGCTCTTGGTTGCAACTGCTTACCCAGAGCCCAAAGCCCTAAACCCTAAACCCTCCAAGCCCTAAGCCCTAAACCCTCTAAACCCCAAGCCCTAAACCCTAAAACCCCTAAAACCCCTAAAACCCCAAAACCCTAAAACCCCAAAACCCTAAACCCCAAAGCCCTAAACCCCTAAGCCCTAAAAGCTGATGACGTGCGGCCAGTTCACTACGGCCTGCAGCACAGTCGCTGCTTGGTTCGCTCCTCAGATCTCCCGAGCTCGACCTCCTTGCCTGCCGGTTTAGGGTTTAGGGGTTAGGGGGTTTGGGGTTTAGGAGTTTAGGGTTTAGGGTTTAGGGTTTAGAGCTTAGGGGTTTAGGGTTTAGGGTTTAGGAGTTTAGGGCTCAGGGTTTTAGGGT